GACGGCGCCAAACATGATCTTCACAAGAAAAAAAATAGGCTCTTCTTATTCTCATCTCAAATATATCAATCATACATTCAATCACAAACCTGTTTCAGTGCATACAAAAAACTGGTAGTCCATTGCACAGATACTACAGCATGCAACAGCTTTAAAATGAGATGGAGGAAAAGTAGCACTTCTTTTTATAGGTGCATATTTACCATGGAGAGATTCTTGACAGGGCTGAGTTGGGATGGAGAATCCCCTGAGGTTTTGTGGAATGAATGGCTGGACTGGACACTTTTCAACTGGCTACTGCTGCTGCTGAGAGGCTGGAGTCCCCTCTAAACTCCGGATTTTTTGGTGGCTCATCTTACCCCACTCACCCTCCCTATATTTTGTATTAAAAAATTATGTGTGTCTGTATAAATATATATGCAGGTGCATCTAAAAAAATTGGAATATCGTGAAAAGTTCATTTTTTTTAACTTATTTCAAATAGTGAAACTTTCATATATTCTAGATTCATTACATGTAAGGTAAAACATTTCAAAAGTTTTTTAATTTTATTTTGATGATTAGAGCTTACAGCTCATGAAAGTCAAAAATCCAGTATCTCAAAATGTTAGAATATTTCCTAAGATTAATAATAAAAAAAAAGGATTTGCAAAACAGAAATGTTTAAATTATGTTCCTAGTCAACAAAAATAAAATTTCAGTTGATGAAAATTAAAATATGTATGGATGGATGGATGTGTGGATGGATGGATAGATAGATAGATAGATAGATAGATAGATAGATCTGCTCCAAGAAATGTGCTGGTGCAGCCTTAGTCTGGTCTTTGGTCTGTAATTTAAAAGAGTTTGAAGTACCTGTTTGACCTCTATATTTCTATTACTTAATGGTGTGACTGATGGCAAAAGAGGCATAGGCCGGCCGCAGAGGTAGTGGGTGGCCCTAAAAGTTAGTCTGAAGGGGGTCCAGTGGACACATACCTCCCAAAGCAAATATGGAAATGATAATGATGCGCTGAAAAGGAGGCAAAGTAAAACATTTCAAAAGTTTTTTTGTTTTAATTTTGATGGTTAGAGCTTACAGCTCATGAAAGTCAAAAATCCAGTATCTCAAAATATTAGAATATTTTCTAAGAGCAATCAAAACCAGGATTTTCAAATCAGAAAAGTATGTTCATTTATGAAATCAATACTCGGTCGGGGCTCCTTTAGCACAAATGGCAGCATCAGTGAGGTGTGGCATGGAAGCAATCAGCCTGTGGCACTGCTGAGGCACTATTGAGCCTTCAGCTCGTCAGTCTTGTTGAATCGACTGTTTCTCATCGTTCTCTTGAAAATATCTCATGGATTCCATATGGGGTTCAGGTCAAGCATGTTGGCTGGCCAATCAAGCACAGTAATATCATGGTCAGCAAACCTTTTGGAAGTGTGGGCACGTGCTAAAGTCCTGCTGGAAAAGGAAATCAGCATCACCATAAAGCTTGTCAGCTGATGGAAGCATAAAGTGCTCCAAAATCTCCTAGTAGACGGCTGCATTGACTTTGGACTTGATAAAATACAATGGACCAACACCAGCAGACCAACACCACGGCACCCCAAATCATCGCTGATTTCAGAAACTTCACACTAGACTTCAAGCATCTTGGATTCTGTGCCTCTCCAGTCTTCCTCCAGACCTTGATTTCCAAATGAATTGCAAAATGTACTTTTATCTGAAAAGAGGACTTTGGACCACTGAGCAACAGTCCATAGATTCCATATGGGGTTCAGGTCAGGCATGTTGGCTGGCCAATCAAGCACAGTAATATCATGGTCAGCAAACCTTTTGGAAGTGTGGGCACGTGCTAAAGTCCTGCTGGAAAAGGAAATCAGCATCACCATAAAGCTTGTCAGCTGATGGAAGCATAAAGTGCTCCAAAATCTCCTAGTAGACGGCTGCATTGACTTTGGACTTGATAAAATACAATGGACCAACACCAGCAGACCAACACCACGGCACCCCAAATCATCGCTGATTTCAGAAACTTCACACTAGACTTCAAGCATCTTGGATTCTGTGCCTCTCCAGTCTTCCTCCAGACCTTGATTTCCAAATGAATTGCAAAATGTACTTTTATCTGAAAAGAGGACTTTGGACCACTGAGCAACAGTCCAGTTCTTTTTCTCCTTAGCCCAGGTAAGATGCTTCTGAGGTTGTTTCTGTTTCAGAAGTGGCTTGGTAGCCCTTTTCCTGAAGACGTCTGAGCGTGGTGACTCTTCATGCACTGACTCCAGTGTAGCGAATCAGCTCAAAGGGGAAATATGAATAATTAATCATAACTAGTTATAATTAATTATAAATATTTA